GAGAGATATACACGCTCGTTATACCCTCTTTTTCAATAGAAAAATATTATAAGACATACCTATCTTAAATTATATTTATATAACATGAAAATATTTTGAATCACAAATATTTCTTTAAAATGTACTTCTACGATACAATTATAAAAGCTTTAGACAATACCTCAAGTAAGCCTTTTTAAAGTTCGACTTTTAAACTAAGTATTCTTTGTTTGACAGTTTGACTTTAAGTTTATAAAATATGAATTCCTATAAATAAAAAAAAAATATATTCTTTAGCTTATATGTAGATAAAAGTCAGTAATTTAAAAAGGTTTTAAATTTCTTAAGTTTATTAAAATATCAACTAGTCTCTTATTGATATCTTTAATTTACATTCCATATAGAGTGCTTAAGTAATATGCACCACATCTTAACTACCCCTAACGAGGGTATATTGTTGGCGCTGCACGCGTTGCTTTCATTTATAATTTTGTTTATTTTCTCAATGCATTTTGCGCAAATAAAGAAATAAAATGAACGCAAAAAATATAATAATTTGTGCAAATTTTATTTGCCGGCGCTTTTCATTATTTTTATTTGCTGTAACGAACGTGAAGCGGGAGAGGCGGGAGAGGCGGCAGAGGCGGGAGGAGGCAACCGCAGCGTCAGACAAGATGAAGAAGAAGAAGATGAAGAAGGAGGAGGAGAAGGAGTTGGAGTATTTTAATAAAACCACACATACAAATACACATACACCCATACATACACGCACGCAAAGTCGCATACAGTCACACACTTTGTCAGGGGCAAAGAAAGCAATTGAGTTGCGTTGAAGTGGCATAAAGTAGTAACAAGTGGCGGTTGCGCTGCGTTCGGCGTAGTTGTTGGGCTGGGCTTGCTTTTTAACCATTTTGTTTGGTCTATGAGCTTTCCCTTTGGACGGGCGTACGCGGTGCTCAGGTGGAAGCACAGCCAAGGCTCGAGATGGTGGCAATGAATGCCAGATATCCCCAGCGCTGGGCTCTACAAATGTAATGGGAAATGAAATGAATGAATGAGCATAAGCACTTCTTTGTTTGTATGCTTGTCTCTCGGCCCGGTCTGACTCTCCGTCTGTCCGTCTGTCCGTTTGTCTGTCTGCATGTCTGCCTGTCTGTATGTCTGTCTGTTTGTTTGTTTGTTTGTGGCCGTAGATGCGTGCAGCGAGTGCAGCGGGGTAAAACTGAGATGCTGCACTTCAAATTAAAATGCGAATGCAAGCGAAAACTTCAAAAGAAGCACTAGAACAGAAAACAGGAGCGCAAACGAGATACTAATAGACAATGGCAAAGCCAAGTGCTGGGAGTGAAGGGGACAGCGAGGGGTAGACCTGGCAGGGGCGGCTAAGCAAGAAGGGGCGTGTTTGCTTGCTACGTATATGCTGCAATTGAAAAGCACATAAACACACTAACACACTGCGATAGCGAAAGTGTCGCTGACTATGAGTGTGCATGTGTCTGTGAGTGTGTGTGTTTGTGCTGTACCAGGCAGCTAGCCAGCCAAGGATAAAGTTAGCGACAGCAGCAGCAGCAGCAGCAGCATCAACAGCATCAGTAGCAGCAGTGCAGGACATACAAATGCACTTTGGACGTGGACGACGCGCACTAAATTCGCTTTAATTCACTTTTCATACAAAACAGCAGCAGCAGCAGCAGCAGCAGCAGCAGCGGCGGAGACAGCGGCAGCGGCTGTAGCGGCGTCGACAGTCTAGGCAGTCGAGCCACAAGCACAAAAGCACGCGCCTCACACAGACTTTGACTCTCACACGTACACACACACACGCACACAGAGACAAGCACGTGTTTGTTGTAATTAATTTAAAATATTATTATATGCGCGCGCGAGCGCTAAACTAAAGCTGGGAAACTAAGGCAAAGGAGCTGCCGGCACAGAAGCAGAGGCTGAGGCAGAGCCAACGCAAAGAAACGACTGAAACAGAGACATAGAGAAAGAGGGAGGAGAGTGTGTGTGTGTGTGTGTGTGAGATGCACAGCAAGGGTGGGCGTGTGAGAAAGTAGGAGCACTGACAAGGCAGGGCTAAATAATTATAGCCCACGCGAGCTGCACACGAAGCGGCAGTCAAACAAGCAAAACAACAAGTAAAACCAACTATAGAATTACAAGCAGATGTGCGAGTGTGTGTATGTGAATGTGTGTATTAATGTGTGTCCGTGTCCGTGTCCGTGTCCGTGTCCGTGTCCGTGTGTCCGTGCCCGTGTGCCCGTGTGCTGACACATGTGTAACCTATGAAGTTAAATACAAAACCAAGTACTCTAGTCAAGTTTTTTAATTGACGGAACACAGCGCGACTGGGGCAATGCCATCGTTCCACTAATAACTAACAACAAATTAACAACTGACTGCAATGCACAAACACAAGCGCAAAACTAGTTCAAAACAACACGCACACACACATGCACACTCACACAGATAGACAGGCAGACATCGTGTATGTGCAAGCTCGACATGCTAGACTGTGCGCCAAATGCCAAAAATACCGAAGACGACGAAATTGAAAAAAGTAATAAACGTAAAGCTATTACAAAATCTGATAATGGTCTACTGCTGGCAGTGGAGCGAAAATGCCGGCACATGGACACAAACACAGACTTAGACTAAACTCACACACACTGATAGACAGACACACATGTACAACAGAAAGAGCATGCTAGCAACTAAGAGAAATTCAAGAGAAGAGAGCATGAAACAAATTGGAATCGGAACACAACAACTTGGCAATGGGCAACGCAAGTGTTACACTATGCAGGCAGCGGGAGCAGGCCACATAAAGAACCGTTACAATATGCAGCTGCAGCGCCAGCGCTACAACAACATGCGACGTCAAACATAAACATTGTGGCGCGCRTGCTGCTGCTGCCACGGCCACTGCCGCTGCCGCTGCCTCCGCTGCCTCTGCTGCTCGAATCGTGGCTGGCGCAATATTAATTTCACGAATGAACAACCCTTGAATAACCATACACTTCATGTCCCGTTATTATGGCATTGCTACGTGAATGAGAGAGCGCCAGCGAGAGACACGAATGCACTGAGAGCCGATGCTCGCTCGGAAAGCTTTCAATTTGCCGAACCCGAACGACATAGACAACACGACAAAGTTGCTTCGTTTTGTTTGTTCGGCTGTGAAGAGCCGACAGCTTCTCTGTGTACGCGTGTGTGTGTGTGGGATGGCACTGAGTTTTGTGCGTGTCTGTATGTGCGTGTGTGTGTTTGCCTGTGCTTTTTCATTGTGCATTTCCCAGAGGTGCATTTTTCTGAAAATCTAATTTGAGAGATTGAGATTGTTTGGTCTTTCAATGTTCTGCTCGCTCGTTCGTGTTGCGACGCTTGCAATTTTAGCCCCAGCCACAGCAACAGTAACCATTCTTATATTTATGTGCGTACACATACATACATACAATACATACACACAGTACATACATACGTGTACACATACTTTCGCACAAATGTAGGCAACATATTGGGGAGTTATTACTCAGCTACCGCACATTCCGCTTGTCTGTCTGCCTGTACTTATACACGCACGCACACACACACACACACACACTCACATATACACCGCTTACTTTAATTGGACGCGCGGGCGTTACGCTGTCGTAATTTTTTGAAAAATCTACATACTTGGCCTCAGCATTCGCATCCGCATTCACAACAGCATACGCATTCGCATCAGCATCAGCATCAGTATCCGCATTCGCATCCGCATCCGCGTCTCAACGATAACGATGCGACGCGTCGCAATGGCTTCAATCATTGCGCGCAGCGCTCACTGCGGTTTGACAAACATTTTTCACTGACTGTGCAACGGCAACGACAGAGCGTCGCGTCGCCTCGCGTCCTTCCACAACAGATCTGCCACACACACACACACACACTTACACACACACCCCCTCCGACAATCCGTGTATGTTTGATGAGTGTGCGAGAGTTTTATGGCTGTATTGGGAATGAGCCGTCCAGGCTGAGTAAGCGAATAGCTCCAAGCAGGGGAGTTCGGGGCATTGGGGGCTACGGCTGAGTAGGAGCTGGGGTGATTGGGTTATGCTCTGATTTTAATTTTGAAATCATACAAGTGCAGCACTGCAAAGTGATACATGCGGATTTATTTATTTATATACGTAAGTGCCCATTCATATGAGTGTGTGTGTGTGTGTGTGTGGATACAAATGCGTTTGTTTGTACCCCACAGTCATTCACTCGCTCTCTCTCTCTCTCTCTCTCTCTCTCTCTCTCTCTTTCGCATTCTCGCTATGCATGTGTGCGCGAGATACGATAAAGCGACTTACAGGATTTGGATGATGGCTGAAGGCAATGCCGCTTCTGTTTGCAATTTGATAAGCTCTCTGGCATTATTTTTACGACATTTCTTTCTGACAAGCCGCTCGCCTGAAAGTATGCAATAAAAATATCAATGTTGAGTCAATGTGTAAATCTTATTGTTTTAGCATTTTTCCATTTTCCTCTTTTGCTGCTTTTCGCTTTGCCAATGCTAACAACCTCTTCCAATGCCAACATCGAATGTCCAATCAATGCACTTCAAAGTACAGCTTGAAAAGCTACTTCGCAATAGCTAAGTGGAAAAAAATGTTCAAAATATACAAATCAGCATATCCTGTTGCATTAGTTACCATTGACATTTTCATCTTATTAGCAACTATAATCCCATCATCTTTACGTAATCTTCTTATTACCCTGATTTTCCATTTTCAATGGGTTTTGGAAAAAAAAATGTGTGTAAGAGGCCAAAGAAGCCGCAGTAGACCCCATAAAGTATATATATTTTTCATCAGCGCAACGACCTGAGTCGATGTAAATATAACATAAGATATCTATAAGAAAAGCAAATCAGCATCTAAAATATTTAAACACTATAAACATTTTCTTTCATTTAAAAAAATAAAGCAGTATTATTTTGCATCAATCGAAGAACTTTATTACATTAAAATCAAATTTCAATTAACATATCCCAAAAAATATAAAGCGATTTTTATTGCAATTCGATTAGGTTCGTACATAAATATATACACAGTATGTGTTACTTGATCGATCATCTTTAGCAGAAGTTGTACATTTACAAACTAAGACTAAACAGAATAACGGATAGAGCGCTTTAACCATAGGACTAAACGTAATCAATGTGTCGAGGTGCCCTAAATACTATAACTAAGCTAATCCGAAGTTAGAATGTTCCAGATACAATACAAAATGACAAAAGTTAACCTTGATTTTCGACAATATACACAAAGATGCTTTAAAAAATTCTATGCTTTAAAGAAAATAAACTTGATAATCCCGTAGAGCGCCCAAGCCGTTAATGAATAGACGATGGCCAATGTGCTATAATGCAGAACCATCATGCTGAAAAATCGAAAATCACATATAAGATAATATTTGTATATTTATGAGTTCTTAGACTCACCGCTTAATGCGCTTGATGGATTCGGGTAAGTTGCTGGGATCATCCTTCACGACGTACAAGCGCAGCCCATATAAGCTGACCCGGAATAGATTTATCCAGTCCAAGTCCCGCATATCGAAGGCGAATATTCGCTTGTCCCGCTCATCCAATTTGTCTGCCAGCCGTCGCACATTGTCATTATCGAACCGGAACTCATTTGAGCTGAAGAACTTTAAAACGTTGCTGAACTTGTGTATCTTGCGATAGATTTTCATCATTCTGAATGGATGGAATAATAAGACTTCAATATGCGAAATGCAAGGCAAAAAATCACTAATCACACAACTACCTTGGCTTCTTGCCCATCAGAACCATAATTAAGTCCATGAACATGGCGGGCAACGTGTGGTATAAGAAGCAGAGAATGTGATATTGCCACATGTATGGCACGATGGTGAAGCACGGATACCAGATGGACTTGCGCATGGGAATGTCGTTGACGTGCTTGAACCCCGTCTCCATATAGTTGCGCCAGGTGACCATGTTGTCCACATCAGGCACATAGTTATATATGGGCGGCGTTTCATATCTATTGCGTAAAGGTATTAAGTACCACACTGCACTGTTGACGGCTCTGATGCGACTGCACTTACGTGTTTCGTGCCACATCCCAGGCGCTGGCCAGCAAGGCATTCACACACAAATCCACCGGCACTATGTGCGCTTTGTTATCCATATTCCCAGTGAAAACCCGCAACACCCCCGAGCCGATGCCCACAATGACGCCGCAGGGCCCGTACATATTGTCAATCCAACCAGTCACTGGCTCCCGATAGCTGGTGATAACTGAAAAGCGTAGAGCACGAGTCGTAATGCAGTAGAGAAGCCATACAGCTGCCGTAATTCTATATCAAAGCTCATCTTACCAATGCCTGGCCGAAATATGGTCACGGGCAATTTCTTTGCATCCTGCTGCACCACGTTCTCAGCAAGCACTTTGGTGTAGGTATATGTATTCGGGTATCCCTTTATCAGTGTCGGCGTCAGCGTATTCAGCGTGTGCTCGTCCAGGCACTCAGTCAGCTTGCAGGCATTGTCGCCAGTCATTGGGCCGCTGTAGAACTTCTCCTGGATATAGCGCATATTGCAATGGGCAAATGCGGTCGAGACGTGCACGAGAGCCTGAGGATTGAAAGCAATTAATTTAGCTCAATTCTGTCAAGTGGCAAATATAATATGACATATATAATATATAATATTCTTAGGAAGTCAACTTAGTCTGACCTTAAAGAGGGTACATGTATATTGTATATATTATGATATAAGATCTGATTAGCTAATACATATAGCACTCAATTCTTTTATGTAGATAAAGATGAAATTCAACTAATTCTGACTTTAAATGCGCTATATATGCATATACATTATTTATGTATGTATATAATCAAGATCAAGATCTGAATGGAATTAGCTAATATTTAACTCTCGTTTCTCTCAAGCAACGAGAATAATATGTGACTAAGATGGAAATCCGCTAAGCTTTGTCTACGTCTATGGAGTATATATACCTATATGTATTCAATCAAGAGCTGAAAGCGATTAGCATATATATATATCTAAAAGTTCTTTTAAAAATGTAAGATGAAATTCAGCTAAGCTTTGTTGGACTATATAGAGAATCTGAGTATCTGTTTACAATTAGTATCTGAAATGGATTTTTTCAAGCAACGAATACAATATCTTGACTGAGATGGAATCTAAGCTAAGCAATGTCTAACAATTGAATAATATCGAATAACATATCTGTCCATACGGAGATCTATGCTCGATTAGCTCATATACTGACTTGTGGGGATATTTCAAATCAAAGGTTTATACTAATAAGCCCTGTATATCTCTCAATGCTGTCTAATGTGAAATTCACTTAAGCTTTGATTGAGACTGTCCGTATATAGACAGAGTATATATACATCAAAATCTGTGTGGGATTAGTTAGCAGTCTCAACTGTATCCAGGTAATATAATTTATATTATATAGCTTCAGTTATAATCGAGCTTACCTTTAGGTGAACAATCTCTTTGGCCAGCTTGATTAGCTCCTTTGTGCCATGCACATTGATTGCGATTGCCATTTTGAGCTTCTCGTCGAAGCGCACTGTGGCGGCACTGTGTAGCACAATGTTTACATTCTCCTTGATGATCTCGCGTTCGTTCGGGGAGATGCCCAGGCCAGGCAGCGAGCAATCACCGCTGATGATTGTGATCTGACAGCGATACTTTGGATTGGCCTGTTTCATTTTGGCAAAGACCTATGCCGGAGCGAGCGAATAAAGTAGGAGCAATTAATCAGAATTGGATATTCGACAAATCAGTTAGCCATCTATATTGGACAAATTATTTACCGGATCATTGAACAAATCCTCAATGCGTGCATGGGCATCCTTGCCCTTTTTGGTGCGTATCAGCAAATATATTTGGGCCACCTCCGTAACACGCAACAGTTTCTCAATAATAACTGCGTACAAAATCAGTTCGTAAGTAATCAATTATTCAAGTCACGTCCGCGTTTGCCAACTTACTTTTGCCAAAGAATCCAGTGCCGCCAGTGAGAAAGACGCCCTTATCCTTGTAGAACATTTGCATGGGCGACTCATCTGCAAAGATCAATGCAAACAGCCATTAAACAATTAGCCAATTTGATGCGCATCATTGTGCCACTCGTGGGCCTCCCCGCCGAGCTGTGGCAACGGTGGCAACGGTGGCAGCAGCCCCACTCACCATGCTGAATGCTTGTTTGCCACCCACTTGACGCGCGTCACGAATTTAAATGCGCGCCCCAAAAGCCACTTCAATTGCGCATAATTCACGCCGTCACACACAAACACACACACGCATGCACGCACACAGCACGCACACACACGCACACAGCACGTACATAGTCACATAGAGAGTTACACCCAGTCGCACGTAAAGAGCGTTTGGCATGTGGCTGCATTTTGGCCATATGTCAAAATGGCAACAACAACACTCAAAGTTAACGCCAATGCTGACATTGTTGTCGGCTGCCGCTGCTGCTGCTGCTGCTGCTGCTGCTGCTGCTGCTGTTGCTGTTGCTGCTGTGGCTGGCTGCCACTTGTGGGGCACTCATAAATATTTGCAAGTTAGCAGCTCGTCGAGCTATTCATCTATCGTACAAAAGCACACACATTCGTATGCACACACACACACGCACACATGTTTGCATATATAAATGTGTTTAGTAGGCACATTCCTGTGTCTTCAAGGTGCCCATGGTCGGGCCTGGTCTGGTCTGGCCTAATTGCCAATCGACGACGTAAATCACTGTCACTGCATCGGTTATACAGGCTATGCACACACACTTGAGCGCATTGCCCACTCGATAATTGCATAATAAATGCAACATTGTTAAGGACTTCAACTGGCCCATTGGCTGCGGCGTCAAACATAACACACACACACGCACACACATACATATGAAATGCTATTCAGACAAATACGGACACTTAGTGGAGCTGACACCTATTCATCGTATAGATGGATACAGCAGCCCTCCACCATCTATCAGCAGCACCCCAGGGGTCGCACTCAACCAAAAGCACTTGGCGTGCTCACTCAAATGTTTTGTTTACCTATGCTAATTGGCTTAAATGCAACTCAAGCGCACTTCTCATCGCGCCAAGCCGAAACTGAGCCGACGCCGACGCCGACGCCAAAATGGCCCGCCCCCCAGCCCAAACCCATCCACTACCCCACTGCTGGGCACCCGGCCACCATTGTTTATGAGCGCTTCGGAATTGAGCTCCAGACCCCAACGCGTGGCCTCACTTGGAGTGCGGCGTGCGGCATTCGGAATGCGGCATGAGGCGTACGGCGTGCGGCATGCGCATTTAAAGCTTTTGAGCGCTTTGGGGCATTTGTTCAGCGCCAGCGCCAGCGCCAAAGCTAACAACAACAACAACAGCAGCAGCAGCAACAGCAGCATTGCCACTTTGAGTGAATTGTCAACAATTGTGTTGGCTCTTTGGATTTGCGCGCCACCGTTGTCGACGTCGCTGTTGCTGTTGCTGTTGCTATTGCTGTTTTTGTTGTTGTTGCTGGGGCTGTTGCTGTTGTTGCTGTGGCTGTTGCTCGTTGTCTCTCGCAGACAAAAAGTCTGTCACATAATTTGTCAATTTCAACAATTTTGTTTACCACCCCCGCGCACGCCGTGCAGTCTCCGGAAGACAAACGTAATTCTTCATGAATGTTTATTGTTTTTAAGAAACACTGAACTGCTTGCTTTGTGTTTGTATATGTATTGTATATATATATATACTAAGTATATGTGTGTGCTCAGTATTATTGTATATTCACTTTTTGCGGTCATGTCTGAGCCTGACTCTGACTTTGACCCTGAGCTGGAGCCTGACCGTGGCATTGCCCTTCACACTCCACAGGTCACTCACCCTTTGTGCCAGTTATAAGCTGACAATGATCGTCCAATGATTTCGTAAATCCATTCCGCAGGTTCATTAATTTTGCCTCGTCCATGTTAGCCAGAATAGGATTTTGTCGGGCTGCAAATAAGAAATGCAAATTAATCAAACTAATTAATTAAATATGTAAATTTAGAATAATTCTCATATTTTTTTTTTTATTCAAATTAAAATGATTGACAAATTAATTTTTTAAATGTCAAACAGTGTGATTATACCATATTTGGAATATTATTAAATTCGATTAATATGTGATGAGATTTAATAATGGAGTGCAGCATACAAAGCCTCAACAGTTTAAGCCCTTAAAAGTTTTTTGATCACATTGAGCAACCATACCAACAAATTTCATTATTATTGAGTGCAAAATTTAGAATTTATAGTTAGATATTAAACTTTCTACATCAAAATATATAAAAAAAAATTTCTGCCTGACAATTTATTTAATCATTTTATTTCTTTAT